TCAAAGAGTTTTCTTTTTGAAAAATTTACATTCTCTTGCGTCGCAGATGTCGCACTTTGATCATTTATCACCGTTACAACTTGTGGCTTAACATGAATTTTTTGGATTGAGCCCTATCGGATCAAGGAAAACTGCGGTCACTACTGAGAAACAGCGCGCATTTTAGACTATCAGCAGCGACACACGGTTTATCCTTTTTCGTATCGGCTAAGAGGACTGTTGGTACGACTATGTAAGAAGTCTGTATTCACAAATAGTGGATATAATGACCCTAATCATAATCGCTCTTACGTAAGAATGACGACTGAAATGCGCAAGACATAATCTACAGCATCTAACTTACCGACAAGGTTCAGTTGTGGTATTGATGAGGGATGCATACAACTCAATGGGCCGAAACAACCTTTTTCAGTAATTACCTTTCTTCCACTATTTTAGATTTATTTCAGTTCATCTACACTCTATGGATTATTTCACTAAACAAGTATTTCTTCAATATTTCTTATGTTATTTTTATATTTGTCTCTATTTCTAGTCTATCCTTCAAGCAACTGATATTAATGTTCTACCGTCACTCTCATCGTTTTCTTTCTCTTTTATTGTTATCACTATATTTGTCTTTTAGGTTAGTATTATTTACTGGAAAAAGGCTGTTCTTGTGTGTATCACGAATTTTAGATATTCGGGTTAAACAGTTTTTTATTATTCTCCAGATAGTGTATATATTTCCTCAGTAAAAAAGAAAAAAAAAGACTGTGCCTTGTGGTCGAAACTAACTGCCTAGATAACGGAAGAGATAAATCTCTCAAGCGCTTCGTTCATTATTAAGCACAGCGATCTTAATCCTTTTTTTATGCGTTTTGCATATATGTAAACTGCAAAAACGCATATTGGGAAGAGGCTGTCTGTGTGTGTACGCGTGTGTGTGTATGTGTGTGTGCGTGTGTGTGTGCGTGTGTGTGTGTATGTGTGTGTGTGTGTAGCTGTGTGTTCGCACTTTCTGTCACCCACTTTCAACTCGAGACCCAGAAAAGCTAGAAAGCTGAAATTTTGGGGATATGTGCCCGTACCATGCGCGATCCTCCCGTTTTAATTTCATCCCTCTTGAACGCCTGGGTGCCGCGTACGGACGTTTTAAAAAAATATGCAAATTTTTTG